CTGGTAAACTTAGATGAACCAGTCACTTATAAGGAAGCAATGGCAGGCCCAGAGGCTTCCAAGTGGAAAGAGGCAATGGACAGCGAGATTAAGTCCATGTATGACAACCAAGTTTGGAATTTGGTTGATAGTGCACCAGGTCGTAAGACAGTTGGGTGCAAATGGATCTTCAAGAAGAAGACAGACATGGATGGGAATGTGCATACATTCAAGGCTCGACTGGTTGCAAAAGGTTTTACTCAAACCCCAGGGGTTGACTATGATGAGACTTTTTCGCCAGTGGCTAAGATTAAATCTATTAGGATATTGCTCGCCATAGCTGCCTTTCATGATTATGAAATCTGGCAGATGGATGTCAAAACTGCTTTCCTTAATGGGAAGTTGGCTGAAGATGTTTACATGAGTCAGCCAGAGGGTTTTGTTGATGCAAAGTTTCCCAATAGAGTGTGCAAGCTTGAGAAATCCATTTATGGATTGAAACAAGCATCTCGCAGTTGGAATCTTTGCTTCCATGAGAAAGTCAAAGAGTTTGGTTTCTCTAGAAGTGAAGATGAGTTTTGTGTGTATATCAAGGCTAGTGGGAGTATAGTAACTTTTCTGGTGTTATATGTCGATGACATATTACTCATTGGTAACGACGTTCCAACCTTGAAAGAGGTTAAGTCTTGGCTTGGAAAGTTTTTGCATGAAAGACCTTGGAGAAGCTGCCTATATTCTTGGGATTAGAATATTGAGAGATAGAAAGAAGAGACTAATTGGACTTAGTCAGAGCACATACTTGGATAAGGTACTAAAGAGGTTTAGTATGGAAAATTCCAAGAAGGGAGAGCTACCTATCCAGAGCAATACCAAATTGAGTAAGACTCAATGCCCGAGTACAGATGTTGAAATAGATGACATGAGTCGTGTACCTTATGCTTCCGCTGTCGGATCGATCATGTACGCTATGACATGTACTCGCCCTGATGTGGCATTTGCTTTGAGCATGGTCAGTCGCTATCAGGGAAACCCAGGTAGAGCTCATTGGATAGCAGTTAAGAATATACTCAAGTATTTGCGAAGGACAAAGGACTGGGTTCTTGTGCTTGGTGGCAGTGATACTTTGAGAGTAGATGGTTACAGTGATGCCAGCTTTCAGACGGATAGAGATAACTTCCGTTCTCAGTCGGGCTGGGTATTTTTACTGAATGGAGGAGCAGTTACTTGGAAGAGTTCCAAGCAAAATACGGTGGCTGATTCTACTTGTGAATCAGAGTACATTGCAGCAAGTGAAGCGTCGAAAGAAGCAGCTTGGTTAAGGAACTTCATCGGGGATCTCGGAGTTGTTCCAACCATCCAGGAGCCTATGGAACTCTTCTGCGATAATGAAGGAGCGGTTGCCTTGACAAAGGAACCGAGAGATCATGGTAAGACCAGACATATCGACAGAAAGTACCATTTCATTAGACATAGAGTTGAAGAAGGCCATCTTATAGTAAAGAGGGTGTCATCTGAAGATAACCCAGCAGATCCCCTCACAAAGGGTCTGAGTAGGGCTAAGCATATTCAGCATGCTCGGAGCATAGGACTGAAAGATGATATTAGTTTTAGTAGTTAGATTAGTTTTTGAAACTTGTAACAAAGTAAATGTAATTGACTTTTGGTGATTAAATAATAAAGTATTATTTATAAGTTTGGCTACTACCTTTTGTCAATTGTTTATTACTGTGTTTCATTTTTGCATGTTTTACTTCCTGAATAATGAGATTATTCAAACTCCACAGTCGCTCGTACTCTTGGAAGTAAGTAGTGAATTAAGACTGTCATGAATTGGATTGCAGATTGTCTAAGGATAGACATGGCAATAGAATTGCTGCAATGTTCATGAGTACTCAGAAATTGAGATTTGAGTATTGGATAAACCCACGCTCAGAGTATTACTTCATGGAATTCATCACGAGTAATACTGAGACGATAATATCTTATAATCTTGAAACGAAGATATATGAGTTGTAATTTACAAGTCGGTTGTGCATTGGTGATACGAAAACGCATCAGTAACTTGGTGTTATAAAACGTATTGTCATGCATAATTTGATGAGTAAAAGATACAAGCATATGAGTCAACGTTTATTCGTTCCTTTTGCCCTAACAGGAAAAGCGATATCTGTGGGCCCCTCGATGATTTGGGTGTTGACTTATGTGCTGGGCCCAGCCAGGACTAAATTGATGTGTTCGATTAGAAGTCCTACATCATCACAAATCAGGAATCGGGAAACATAGATTCTGGACAAACAGATTGATTACATTCCATGTCTTTTGTCTGGGGATATCAAGCAGAACGAAGGGTTATATGATCACTTATCTTAGGACACGTAACTGACTGGGTCAGAGTTCGGCAGCAGCTTTTGGAAGCTACAATTTGCTGGTCAAATTTAGAAGGCATACTAGCAATTATAGTTACAGACTTATCCAAGTGGGAGACTGTTGGATTAGGTGTCTAAGCCCATAACTATAATTGGTATGTACTTGAATTGACAGCAGCACAGTCCTTTTGGGTTGCCCTCAACCTAGCAACTGGACAAGGAAATTATGAAAGGAGAGATATTAATTTATAAGATTAATAAATTAATATAATATATATATATAAATGATTTATTAATATGTTAATGGATTAATATATTAATTAGAAATCATTATGTTTAATTAATTGTTAGCCAGAAATTAATCAGAATTGATTTTGGGGTTAAAAAAGAATTAATTATAAGGTGCAGGGACTAGTTTGCAATTATCTAATAGTTGAGTGGAAGGCTCTAGAACCTCCTTGGAAGAGGGTGGACGAAATCTTTAGGGGAAAACCCTAATAATTTCGTCCATAGGGGCTTGGATAAGGCCCTTGGGTTTGCTTAGGCCCTAAGCAAAGGATAACTAGGGTTTCCCTTAAACCCTAGATCCCTCAGCTATATAAGGAGCCTCCTGGTTCATGTTTTTGGTGACTGATTTCTTTGGAAGAAACCCTAAGGCCGAAATTGCATACTCTCTCCATCCTCTCTCCTCCAAGTTTCCTTCTTGCTAGTTCTTGGGTGTGATTCCATTAGAGGCATTACATTTGTGGTGCTAAGCTTCCAAGAAGATCAAGATCAAGATCAAGAGGATTATCAATTGTTTGCTATAACAATTGAAAGGTATGTAAACCCTAAACCCTAGTTTGTTAATTTCGAAATTAGCCTCTCTCCTCTAGGGTTCTTGTTTTGCAATTCAAAGTTATATGTTCAATAGTTAAAACATAGATCCAAAGTAGGTTGCATGTGAACTTAGGAATTGTTTTTCTAGTTTATTTGTTGTACCTAAAACCCATCAAAATTTTAGAACCGAACCGAACCAGTTTAGAACCGGTGTAACCGGTTTAGATAGGTTCGACTAATTTTTTGAGTGAACCGGTTTGATGCTGAACCGGTTTTGCTTGGCTAGGGAGTGAACCGAACCGGTTTAAAGAACCGGTTCGGTTTGAAAAATGAACCGGTTTGTACATGCCTACCCATGAGTCATGAACTTCAATTATTGTTAAAATTAGTGATAATGACTTGAAAGGGTAACACACTTTCTCCTTTGTTCCCATTTAGTCACTAAATTTTTTTTCGTTATCTATTTGTCACTGAACTATTGAAACTGTTCACATTTTACCCTTATGACCGGTTGTTACCGGTCATAAGGGTAAAATGTGAACAATTTCAATAGTACAGTGGCAAATAGATAAGGAAAAAAAGTTTAGTGATTAAATGTGAACAAAATCGAAAGTTCGTTTCCCTCTTTAAAAAGTTCAATGACTAAATGTGAACAAACTTCCTATTGTATTATGTTTTAGCAAATTATTTATTTTTGTTAAATTCTAACAACATTTGTTGATAAAGAAATCTATGAAATAAAAAAAAACAAAACCCCAAAAATATATTTTAAAAAACGAAAAACCAAAATCGAAATAAAAAACCAATGGTTTGACATTTTCCAAAATAAAAAATCAAAATTTCCAATCTGATTTTGGTTTTACAAAAAAAAAATAAACCATTCTCACTGATGTGAATTATGACAATTGGTTTGGCATGCAGAATTAAATAACACACAAAGAACATGATGATTTAGGTGTTTAAGAGATGCATTCGATTATGAAAGGTGTTTACAAAAAAGGATCTACATCTAAATATACATAATTAACATACACTAACACTCCCAATGTTACATCTCTCAAGCACACATCTACATCTGGTATGAACTCACTTTATATAGAGGTGTTTACATGTCTCTCTATCTCTAATGTCACAAGAGGGAATTTTGGATAGAAAAATTCCGAATTGAGCGTTTTCTCACTCCCTTTTTTGTTTATAATCATTTTTCGATTATAAAAAGGGGGAGATATTTAGATGTGGAAATCCGAAAGTTGAATTTTTGTAAAACCAAAATCAAATTGGAAAATTATGATTTTTTATTTTGAAAAATACCAAACCATTGGTTTTTTTATTTCGGTTCAGTTTTTCGTTTTTTTAATATATTTTTCGGGGTTTTTAACAAAAATAAATAATTTGCTAAAACATAATAATAAGTTTGTTCACATTTAGTCATTTAACTTTTTTAGAAGAGGAAAACAAACTTTCGATTTTGTTCACATTTAGTCACTAAATATTTTTTTATTATCTACTTGCCACTGAACTATTAAAATTGTTCACATTTTACCCTTATGACTGGTAACAACAGATCATAAGGGTAAAATATAAACAGTTTCAGTAGTTCAATGGCAAATAGATAAGGAAAAAAAATTTAGTGATTAAATGTGAACAAAATTGAAAGTTTGTTACCTTTTCAATCATTATCCCTTAAAATTATCGAAATACTCTTAATATGACTTTAATTGCAAGTTCATGTAAAATCCTCAACCATTTGCATTCACATGAAATCAGTAAAGAAAAAAACAATCGAGCCCTTACCATTTGTACAAAGATTTATTCACAAAAATAATTCATCCAAAACTACACTGATTCCTGCTGATTTGATTCTACTGATTCTTCTTCACTTGTTGATCTCGCTTCAGCAAACGAAAACGTAACCCAAATTTCTCTTCTTCTTCCACCACTTTCATCCCCAATTTTCTTATCTGAATCATCTACAGGCATCTTATGCCTACAAACAGGGCAAGACCCATGAATCTTCAACCATTTTTCCACACACCCACCATGAAACTTATGCTTACATGGCATCTCCTTCACCACATCACCAACCCCCCACTCTTCCAAGCATATCACACACTCACCCCCTAAACTCTCTATTTCATCCGTACCTTTTATCTCCACAGTCGGCATGGCGTCGATCGACGTTTGAGACGCCGGTGGCTGTCCGTCCTTCCTCATCAGATCGTTCATCAGGGATTCGAAACCAGCAGTAGCACCACCTCCGATCACCACCATTCCTTGCGTCACCGGGTTGATCAGGATGATCCGGTCGAGTGACGAACCCTGATGATGACGACTGTCTGTAGATTCATGATCCGGATGTTCGGAATCGTTACTGGAATCCGATTCCGGCCTGGTGGTTGTGAAGCCTGAAAGGAAAGGCATCTCCATGAGCCTCTCGATCAAACGAGATACTGATAGCTCTCCTTCTGAAGCCATTTGAGCACAAATTCGTAGTGGTTAGTGTGTGTTTGAGTGTTTCTGCTTACTGAGAAAGATCAAAATTGAAAAGAACAGTAGAAGTGGAAGCTTAATTTGAATTGGGGAATTTTTTGGAGAGCTTAAAAACGAAGGGGAAAAAGGTGTAGAAGGATCTCGAATGCTGTGTGTAGACAGGTGTTTTTGCTATAATACGCCAAGGGGTTTGGTTAACGCGTTGGATAAGATGAAGGATGATATTTTTGGTGGAGTAATCCAGTGTGGTGGGTTTCGTTTGATACAGAAGTTTCTAGCCTTCGATTTCTTAATCAACGATACATATTTGATATTACATGCATGATTTCGGATATGTACAATTATCAATTATTTATTTCTTTTTTACTTTATCGTGGCACGTTGTTCATAGTTTTTACAAAGGAAAATGCATTTTAATTTTAGAATGTATGTTTTATATTTTTTTTAATTTATAGAATAATTTTTTTTATATAAAATATGTAATGTATAATGAGATTTTAGATTTGTGAAAAAAACCGGATCACGATATATCAAGTTGGCTGGACAATTTTTCATCTTCAAGACATTAATGATTAAAGAAAAATATAAAATCGTATAATAATTGCTCTTCAAGTACTTCCCACTTGAATTTAAGTTTTTGATAACATGTTCAAAAACTTGATGGTGTATATATAAATCAATTTTATAGGTAAATAATCATATCTTCTTCATTTTCATCACAGGTTAAAGGAGTCTTACTCTCGTTCAATTTAAATAATATTTGGTGCATGGACTAGACAGGTTATACAGACTATATTTATATGCCATTGTTTGTGAAACAGGTTGTTGGGCTGAAACGGAATAGTTTTATGTGTAGTATGTTATATTTTGGAAACTCGTTACGTTCAATGTTTGTCCACTTGTTTACAAAAATGTTTTCAGGTTATTTTAGTGAGCGGGGCAAAAACGCAACGTGACTATACATTCGCATCGATTGTTTATTACGTTGAGACTTTCGTTGATTTCAGATTGATACTCTGTTTTGAAAACCATAACTTTACTCTTTCGATCGAAAGGCTATTTACATTGCTCTTGGAAATGGAAATGAATGTTATATACTATTTTTGAAAATGAAAAGAATTGGTTTAAAATTTGAGACGTGACATATTTAAATTTAAAATATAATTAAAGGTGTAAATGAAATATGAAAAAAGAATACAAGCGCAAATGTAGTAAATATAAAAGTATATTGAGTACTTAATATATATTTAGGTTTTGTTTGTTTTTTGTCTGCAGATCTTCTTGACCTCTTCTGTCTGCGTCATGCAGACCATGCGCAGACATTAGTTTTCGCAGACTGTTTGTTTTTTTGAATACTGCAAACTTAAAAATGTATGTGTGTCCTCTTCTTGGCGCGGATGTGGATCAAAGTCTTCTAACATTTCCAGACATTTTCTAGCCTAAAAAAAACACATATATCTTTATTTTTTTAGTTTTTTTTAATTTATATTTATTCCAACTTTATTAATGATAAACAATTTGAAAAAAAAACCGCTACAATACTTTAAAAAGAAGGATTCGACGACACAAACATGATATTTTTGACAAATTTATAAATAAAATTTATTACAATAATAGTTGTTGATGTTGCTTATATAAATATGAAAAAAATCATAATATATTCTTATATTTTTTGTACCAAATTTTATAAAACACTATTTAATACAGTATCATCAATTTCTTGTGAAGTTTTTATGGTACGTTTTTAATTGATTTAATTGAAAAAATCGAAGTTTATTTTAATCTATTTATGTATCAAATTCTTTGATTCCTAATTATAATGTTTATGTATAACTTTACGACAAAAATTGTTGGTTTTTATCAAATATATACGTTAATTCGTACCATTTTTATTTTCACTTTTATATAATAATACATAAAAGTTGATATAAAATTTTTAATTATTTATAACAAAGTCACAAAAATATTAAAAAACAGTTTAAAGTTAAAAAAGTCAGTTTATTTAGATTTTAGTTTATTTTAGTAGTCTGCAGATGTTAAAAAAACAAACAGTCTTCTTTTTTCAGACTGTAGACGTTTGATCCACCTCTTCTACTGTAGAGATCTACAGATGTGGTCGGCAGACTGCAAATATTTTGTCTAAGAAAAAAAAAACAAACAACGCCTTAGTCGTCAATAAAAATATTCAAATACATTATATGCTTTAAAAGCATTTCGTGTGGGAGCTTTTTTATAACTTATTATTATTTGTTTTTTTATTAACCGTTGAAAACCATCTGAACGCATAACTTATTTGTGATTTCTTAATATATATATATATATATAATATATATATATATATATATATATATATGTATATATATATATATATATATATATATATATATATATATATTAAAGTTCAGGTTCATTTGAGACCATTCTAATTTTGTGAGACCGTGAGACCAAATCTAAAAATAATTTTAAAATGCAAAATAAATAGAAAAATCCAAAAATTCTTTTTTAAAATATTATTTTCGGAACTTGAATTAACTAAAAAAAATAAAAATAAAAAATAAAAAAAATCCCGTTTTTTTGAAAAATACGTGAAATATTCTAATAGAATATTACACTGACATATTCTAAAAAATAATTTTAAAATGCAAAATAAATGGAAAAAATCTAAAAATTCTTTTTTTAAATATTATTTTCGGAACTTGAATTAACTAAAAAAAATAAAAAAAAATCTCATTTTTTCTGAAAAATACGTGAAATATTCTAATAGAATATTACACTGTACATATTCTAAAAAATAATTTTAAAATGCAAAATAAATGGAAAAATCCAAAAATTCTTTTTTTAAATATTATTTTCGGAACTTGAATTAACTAAAAAAATAAAATAAAATAAAAAAATGCGTCTCACGGTCTCACAAAATTAGGCCGTCTCACATGAACCTAACCCTATATATATATATATATATATATATATATATATATATATATATATATATATATATATATATATTAAGTGATCAATATATTTTTATGTTCGGTACATCTAACCTTCTTTCTTTAACAATATCTTATTTTACCCGTTAATTATATTTTAGTTTTAAACATTTGTTATTTCTTTACTAATTCATCATTTCTATTAAAAGAAACTTACAAATCTAGTATAATTCATTAATGACTTTTTTAAAGAAATAGTCAAATAATCATGTTTTTTCTAAAAATAGTCATCGAAATCGCAGGTGGCTAGACTCACCTCGATTTTGTACCCTCTAGATGTAATATCCTTTTCTTGGGCTACGATTTGGCCCCAATTTCTGACCATGGCCCGAAAATAAGATGTCGGTATAAAAAAAATAGATTTTTTCTTAAAATCACCAATGGCCAAGGGCCATCTATGATTTCTCGGATCTAAGTGTGATTCCCTCTTATATAGCTGTGATTTTCTCATGGATTTTGAGAATTTTTTTATGTTCCCATTATAAGAATATGGCAAAAACAACAATTTCTTTTTATGTCCGGATAATAAAAACGATTTTAGAAATCACATATGGTAAGAATATGACAACAATATATCAAATTAGAAGATCTGCACAAAAAAAAACAAAACAAAAAAACAAACAGGTAACACAAGTACCCAACGAAGAAGTCATGCATCAACGGCTTGTATATTCAGAGAGGAGCCATATAACTATAAATGTATAAGTTGTTGATGCATAACTTGTGAATCATGTACTTGCACATTCACAAATGAACCACAAACCTGCAATTTTTGACCTTCTATCCAAGATTTCCTCTAAAACGGACAACCTATCTGCGATTTCCTCTCTCGATAATCTGAAAGTATGAATGGAGATAAGGTGGTAAACATGGGTACAAGAAGGGTGAATAATGATGGGAATGAATGGAGATACCATGAAAAAGAAAAGACTACATCATATGCTTCAATTTTAGGTGAGAAGAAAATTAACATATGCATGAACAATTTGATTCATGATGATCCAACATTAGTGATTAAAGATCACACACTAACTATTTGATTCATGATGATCCAACATTAGTGATTAAAGATCACACACTCACTCTTGTTGGTTTTGTGAAGGGCTTCACTCCCTTACAAGCTTATAAGTTATGTGTGTAATAATAAGGTTTTAACAACATTAACTTTGCTTACCTGGGAGGTTCATGGATTGCTATGGAATTTAAAATAAATACGGTCAAAGAATAAGTTTTTTAATCTAGCTCATTCATGGTTCTCAAGGTTAAAGCCACAGAAAGGTGTTGTATTGAACATTCTTATATTTGTGAGGAGCCTTAATGGGAATTATGTTAATCCATTTAAGTTGAGTAAAAAATAAGATATGGCTGAGCTTCTACTTCTTTTTTGGAAGACTTGTGGCTTAGTTGTGCTCGTTAGTCAATTTCAAGACTCTTTAATCTTGAATGAGGAAAAGCATATTTCGACCAAGAATAAGTTGCATCAGTCGACTTTATTGGTTTCTTTTCGCACCCCCTCCCCGGAGGTCGGGGTAGGGGGGGGGGGGGGAGGGGGGGCACCTTATAATGAGAGGAATTCCAAACTATGTTGGAAACAATTTCTCTTTCTTCTACCCTAAACAGATGGATTTGGTCTTTATCAAAAGTGAGTGACTTTTCCATATCATCAGCACGTGTGTTTATTGATGAAAAGACGTTACATGTTTCTACGTCTCCTGCTCGATGGGTCTTGTTGATTGCTATTAACGTTAACATTTTTATGTGATGATTGTCTTTAACTAAGCTCCGTACTACAACTAATCTTGATAGTCACCATATGGACATTCCTTCTTTGCTTTATCCTCTCTTTTTAAGGTTGTATCAAAACAATTGGCCATTCATCTTTGGTTGTCCTGTGTTGAAAGATGTTATGATTTAGGTTTTCAGGTGGTAGGGTTTGTTGACGCCCAACCCTAAACTCTTATGTGGACCGGTTGAATTTGTTAACTGCTCTTCGTCTTTCCCGTCAAGCGAAGACATGCCTTGAGGAGATCTTTTACTCTTTCATGGCGGCATATTTGGAATTCCATGAATTCTCAGTTGTTTGGAACCTCCAACCGAGAGCGTCATATCATTTTTATAAAAAATATTATCCAATCGTATTTTTGGTGTAATGCTAGGGATAAAATGGATATCAATCGAGTAGGTGGCTTCAATACTCAATTCTAGTACTTTGATTATGTAACTATGGTTTTTGGCTAGTTCCTTGGTAGTCCATTTTTTAGTAAAGTTTTATATTTTTATTTTGTAAGGTTAAGGAATTGCTAATTAAATTATGTTCTTAATAAACAGTCGTTTGTTATCTGCCACTATTTTTATTCAAAAGGGTGGAATAATCATTTATTTAGATTAAAACCGTTCATTTAATTAAAAAAAAGTTATATACAACATTTTAACGGGAAATAACAAACCATTCACTCACTTAATCTAGACATAATTTGATAGAAACATCATAATTTTGCGGTTATCCTCTCAATACATATAATTCTTTAAAATCTTTGATATTATAAATTACGCGTGATATTAAAAGGATTTACGATTAAACAATAAAACATACAAAAAAATATAATTTTAACAAAAACATCAAACCATAGGGACTAAATGCAGCAAACGCAATAACATTCTGGTTAAGATTGAAAATCTGCAAACCCGCAGGGCGGCAATAACCGGCGGTTATCATCCTCGCCGTTAACCGCCATTACAAAATTTGAATCCACCACTTGGTGGCGTGGTAAAGACTTAAAAGTTAAAATCTCCATTTCCATTCCACTTTCTCCAAATTCCGACTTCCAAAATGGAACAATCCGACGAAACCGGTATCAGAATCTACACCCCATCTCCACAACTCAACCAAGATCCACCACCACCGCCCTCCTCCGCCTTATCTCCACCACACGCCGGCCGACGTAAGAAACTCCAGCGAACACTCTCAAAAGGCGTTCAAAAAACCCTCTCCAAAACCTCCCTCCTCGTAAACTTCCTCCCCACCGGAACCCTCCTCACTTTCGAAATGGTCCTCCCTTCCATCTACGGCAACTCCCAATGCTCCGCCGTCGCCACCCTCATGATCAACCTCCTCCTCACCATCTGCACTCTCTCCTGCTTTTTCTTCCACTTCACCGACAGTTTCCGTTCCCCAGACGGAAAAATCCACTACGGGTTCATAACGCCGTCAGGGTTAAAAGTCTTCAAACCAAATCCAAACATCGAAGTCCCAAAAGACGACAGATACAAAATCGGGTTATCTGATTTTATCCACGCCATGATGTCATCCATGGTTTTCATGTCAATCGCACTTTCCGATCATCGTGTAACAGATTGTCTGTTTCCGGGACATGCAAAGGAAATGGATGAAGTTATGCAAAGCTTTCCGTTAATGATCGGCATCGTTTGTAGCGGTTTGTTTCTCGTGTTTCCAAATACCCGTTATGGGATTGGCTGTCTTTCTGCCTAATTTCATACGTGTATTATTTTAATTTTGTGAAGTTTTTGACATTTATTGTTATTGTTATAGTTATAATTATCTGTGTTATCGACTATTGAAAACTTTTTTTATGCCGTGAATGAAAACTCCGTAGTTAAAATACGCGTATCTATCTACGTATCTATATGAATACCTAGCTACTACACGTGTGATATTATACAACAAAATGGGGTGAGGACTGAGGGGTATTATTGTAATTTTGTTAACTTCCGCAACAAAACGCGCGGTTTCCTTCTTGAAGTTTTTGCCATAGACAAAGCATCTCTCGGGGTCCTTGGTAGTGAGCGACTACATAACCATCTTTGCAACCTTCGTTATAGACTCGTTCTTCTTGTTCGTATCTTACTTCTAAACCGTTCTTTTTGAGATCGTTAATCCAAATTCCCATTGCTACATCTTCTAGTTTAAACATCTGATTTAAAAAAAAAAAATGTTAAAATCTTTTTGTTGTGCGAAAGAACAGTGTAGATGATGGTAATTTATAATTTTATATACCTTTAAGTCGCCTTTTTTGTGTTTGTTGTTGATGGCTTTTGCTATGTCGTGAGATATTACGTACCCGGGTCCGTGTGCCCATGGAGGGTAATTTTCTTCGGGATATTCCTTTTGATAAAAAAAGAGGTGAGTTTTAATGTTTAATGATAGGGGCGAAAAGGTAAAAAGACATTGTTGGTAATTTGTACCTCGGGGCTGATGTACCACTTGCTGTCGGGGTTTCGATGTGGTTGAGAATCTGAATTGATTAAGCCGTAAAGTAATCCGTTGGTCACGTTAATTCGATTTAAAGAATTTAAAATTTCGTCTACACGAACGAATGCGTCATCGTCTGTCTTCATGACGTATTTGGCCGAGATAACCTCCGTCTGTTTTAACAGTTTTAAAAATCGTCAGTTACATATTAGAAAATGTAACAATACGATAACTCCACAGTTAAGCGTGGTCAGGCGACAGCAGTACTAGGATGACAGTCGCCCAAAACGGGCAATATCTTGGTATTTACGTGACAAAACGCGTTTTAAAGCCGTGAGAGCAGCGAATCCCATTGTAACTCCACTTTTATGCGTGCTCAAATGAGAGCAGTACTAAGATAACTGACCGCAAAACGGACAATATCTTAGTACATGCGCTTGGGATGCTACTGATAGCAGAGGTATCAGGGTATCCTTCTAAGACGTTTTAAAAGCCGTGAGGACAACAGATCCCATCTAGTCTGCTCGCCTGAGCAGTACGAGGATGGGTGGCCTACTGGGAAGTCCTTATAGAAAGAATCTTACCCCAAAGATACAGATGGCGATGGTCTTCCACGAGATAAGACTGTAGTAGTCGACAAATGGCATCAACTGTATATCTCCATACGTCTTCGCTTCATTCCAAAGCTCCTCATTCACTAATCGGTTTTTATGCTGCAATATTCATATACAAATTTTAAACTTATAAAATTTATTAATTTATAAAATTTATAAAATAAAAAGATGAAATACTAAATAACTACTTACCAAACCAACAAAAAACCGAACGGCGACTTCCCCCGACTTAACGGCGGCGTACTGCATCCAAGTTCTTCTAACGGCCATTCTACGTTTAAAATTATTGGCAGTAGAGAAGACACCAATCAAGAGATTAATTTTTTTTCCAACAGGAATTGAAGGGGATTTGAGAGAGTCTAAGTCAATTATATGATCTAAATCTTCAGAAGTAGGCAAACCACTTGCTACAACAGACACTAATTTCAAGTCCCCTGAGATCCTTACTTCACTAACAAGCCATGGCTCCAAAGTCTATGAAAACAAACAAAAAAATAAAAAAACATTACATATGTCTAACTGGAAATTTTAAAAGAATACACCTGTATGGTTTGATTAGAAAAACATCAAGTATTATTGGTTAAATTTAATTAAAAAAAAAAAAAAACTTACTTCTCGAAAAGCAAATGAAGATATGTGTTTTCCATCAACTGTCATTTGTATGCCTTCTGATCCAACTCTAAGAGTTGCAACAGAAAGATACCCTTGCTTAAAAGGGAAATAGCTTCTTGAATTTGCTCCTGTATTTACAACTTTACCCACTTTCTCATTGCATTGATCCAATTCGTCCACTGAAATTTGAAAATTATGTAAGTCAGTTTACCATGAAATGCATAAATTCACATAAGAAAAAGAAATTATATAGAGAATTACAAACAATTTAACCACTAATACTTTACTTTTTCCAGTTAAACCATAAGACGTTTCGAACTTTTTCCAAATTAACCATTTTGACCTGTTATTTCATATCGGGTCAAAATCGTAAATTTTGAAAAAATGTCTGAAAAACACAAAATTACTCAATTAAACCATAAAAGTTAACACATTGCTCCAAATTAACCATTTTGACACGTTATATTCGGTTTACATTGGTAATTTCGTTATATCAAGTTTTACTATAATTTTCAAAATTAACCATTTTGACCAATTATATCATATCAAGTCATAATGGTTAATTTGAAAAAAAAAATCCTGAAACTTTTATGGTTTGATTGGAAAAAAAAGTAAAGTGTAAGTGGTCAAACCGCAAAATTACGCAAAATATAATGGTTTTCCAGTAATTTGACCCCAAAAAATGGACATAAAATCACAAAAGAAAAAGAAACAAAAGGATATATTTGTAATTTGTGAAAAAAATGTACCTTTCTTAATTTTATCAGGCTCTGGAGACGGGCATCGTTCCTCTTCACCCCAATCATGTGCAATAGTCCAAGTGTTTTGAACAATTACAGGGTCTTCAGTTATTTTATCACCATGAAGCCTAACATTGTAATGCAATATAACAGGAGGATCTGGTTCACCTGGAAGTGGCTCACCAGTCAAGTCAACTCGAAAATTACCTAAAAGCCCATTCGGGATGCCAATAAATGTCACTGATGAACCCTGAGTTAACCCACAAGGAACTTTCAACTTATACCCAGTATCATTAAGCTCTGTGGCATTCATCTTGCTAAGAAAATGGGGACATTGTTTCTCTTTCTTTTTCCCCCCTGAGCTTCTATTCATGTCACGTTTCTCATCTTCAACTGTAGTCATGAGGTTATTCCATGCGATTCCACCATCTTTGATTGCTTCAACTGTGTTAGGAAGAACACGATCATGGCTTATTAAGTGTCTTAAGTGGTTCCATGTGTGTAATGGTTGTTGTTCGTTGAATGAGATGTTTCTGTGGATAAAGAGGGTGGAGACTATTTCATCTGTGGAGACAATTTGAGGGTTGGGGGTTTGGTTTTGAACAGGGGGGGAACTGGAATTTATCCATTCGAGAGGGTTTGTTGTGTTGAAGTATGGAGGTGATGAAATGTAAGCTTCTCTGATTGGATTTTGAATGACTAAGTACCCGAGTATTGTTAATGTTAATAGAGATGCAGATAGGACATAGATATACCATTTCTTCATTTCTGATCAATGAGCCTAAAGTTCATACAAATGAAATTGATGTTTGTATGAACTTCTGTGCAGTTAAGTTAAGTTCTTGTGGTGAAGAAGAAAAGTGAAAATGCATTGAATCAAGATCAGGTTCTTGAATTACACTACAAGTTCATGCCATTGTAAAGCTTCCTCCTTTATCTCACATGACTTGAAGTTTATGATGTTGGAGCTTGATTTCAATTGTTAACCTTTAATAATGTAGTAACATATGAAGTTCTGAATAGAAGAATCATGTGATGTCCCTGTAAATGCAGAGTTAATCAATTCAGTTATGACAAATATGGTAACATATTTATTAACATGAGTAGCTTTGTTTATTAAATAGTATGCATATATGGAATCAACAGGTCATGTGTTGCATACCTAGATCAACCTATTATCATATCTTTTAAGTTAAGACTCATAGCCAATTAACTGATTTGTGCTTAAGTGTTTAATCTTGAGCCAAGCTAGAGTTAGAATCGAGTTACAGACGTGCTATTTTAAGATTTGAAACGATTCTATCTACTGCGACTACACCATTGATTTCCATAACCACATAAAACGATACCGATGTATGTAGCCTAAATAAATACCAGATATAACTACTATGGAAATAAAATCTTAACCACACATCGTTTACAGCTACAGTCGTAAAACACACAAATTCGATATAAAAAGCACAATCAATTCACAAAAATCAAGCACCGAGATCGGCACAATGTCATGGCTAAAAAGCTACCGTTTCGCTAAAGGTAAAGCAGAATCATAGCTCTACATTCAAAAACACTATCAGATCACAAAATTATCAAGCACGAAATCAAATCTGAAGTCATCTTAATCGGCGTACCCTCACTACCTTTCACACAAACATCCAACGCCTCGATTTGAGTGAAACCACACTCGATTTACATAAACCTCGTCGAGCTAACTTCAAAGTTCCGTTGAATTGATAAAACTACACCGGCCTAATTTGAAGTACAGAATTGTGTTACTTAAGTGAAAATCATAAAACACCGATGTGAAATAAAGGCAGGTGAAACTGAGAGGTTAAAAAGAGCACCTGTGGTCGGAAGAGCGGCGTCCGGCGGAGAGGAATTTGTTGAGAATGGCGTAGAAGGAGGAGGAAGTTCGTTACTTGTGTTTGAATGAAGTCGTCGTCGTTGTACTGTAGTTTGTCGTCTTTATTGTCAACAAGAAGAAGCGTGTCTACTTTTAGCTGGGGACTGGGGAGGGTTTTTTGCTCTATCTTGACTTTGACTCAGTAAGGGTTTTTGGAAACTTTAATTGCCATTTTTAATTGTCATTTGATAATTTAGGTCATAAAAAAATACAAATAGCCAATTCTTATAAGTTTTTTAAATATTAGGTATTTTTTTCGACCTTTGTAATGAGGAATGAGCCCTTACAAAAATCATTACTTTCTAAGGATTTGTACCCATTTAAAAGATATTTTTTAGATCTTTACTTCTTTTTTATATTAATTTTATTTTAGGAAAACAAAAATCAACCTAATATATCATTTTCATACTATTAACATACTATTGCTGCTAAAATGGTTTTTAAGGACCCCAACAACAAATAAGAAATTGATTAAAAAAAAGTATTTTGTAATAACATAAACAATTTAATTAGAGGTGAACATTGAGACCTGACAGGTTTGGAAGAATTCTACACACTGTGGACCTGACCGATTGTGGCATATCGGTCGCGGTTTCGGCACCGATGTCGGTTATTCTAGTTATTGGATTAGTTGGATAGTATGCTAGTCATTGGGTATGATACAATTTGATGAAGCGTATGGTACATTCATTGCGTTGGACTGATACAATATTCTTTGCGTACGGTACAACATTCATTGTGTACGATACAACATTCATTGGGTATGGTACAATTTCCAGTCCAATACCCAAAACCACAAAAGCAAATCGAAATGGAAATTGACAATCCAATAACCGAGAAACCGGCCTGACTACATAAAACTAATGTCAGTCTAGTTCCAAGTCCCAAGTCCCGATCCAGTCCACCAATCCAAATGTTCACCCTTAAATTTCTTTAAATACACTAGATCAATTTCAGAGTATAACAAAGAAGATTCCGCACTATATTTAATATATTTTTGGTGGACACCATACAAAAAGTCAATTTTTGCAACAAATAATAATTCCGTAATGAATAGAGAAATTAATAATTCTTGGTGCCGTTACATTATTTTTTTTTTATTTTTTACGAAAGATTGTATAAGAAAATGATGATTTTTTTGTTGTAAATATTAAAAATATTATTTTGTTATAGCAAATGATTGATTAAGTGGTATTTGAGGTCATTATATTGACAGAGACGGACGCATGATTTCGAAGTAGGGGTTGCACCGGGAAGTCAGAAGTTGCATGGTAGTAAAAAAAAAGATTTTGAAATGAAAATTTTTCTACTACGACCGAAAAAGTCAATAGTTGCCGGTGCCACCATGGACCCCTAGGTCCGCCCCTACATATTGATCGGGTTTTTTTTATAATCGTAGTTATTGATTAAGTGGTATTTGAGGTGGTCATCATAATATTATTATTATTATTATTATTATTATTATTATTATTATTATTATTTTAAATAATCGTGGTTTAATTTTACCAAACCATGACTATTTGTGAAAAAAAAATGTTATTTATTGATTCCAAAGGGCCAAAATAATTCAAAAAAGTTAGCCTTAAATAATTATATGAATTGTAAATGAGTTTTCCTTAACGAATAGAATAAAATAATTCCAAAAAATTATCCTTAAATATTTATATGAATTGTAAATGAGTTTTCCTTAACAAAAAGGATATCAATTTGGTGAATAAAAGCCCCACTCCAACAACTACAAGAATTCAAAATGAAGAAAATTAAATCATTCCAACTACTTTCTTTTATATATCATATTTTATGTTACGGGTGTCCATTGAATTGTCAAATCGTAAATCCAAACTCGATTGAGTTGTATCGTTTAAGATTTTATTGTTTGTTTTAAATTTGGAAATGAAGTTTTAATTAAAAAAGGCTATATATTGACTATTTCTTTTGGTAAAATTAATGTATATTTATTGATTAATTGGTTTGTATTTTTCTTTTCAAATATTAGACTAAATGGAACAAATGTCGATACATAATCTTTTGTTATTTTATCACTAAAATCAATATATTTTTCTTGTTTAAATATATTGCTTTATTTAACTTGGTTTTTTGTATCTTTATAGTTTCATATATAAATGGTTTTTAATTTACATAAAGCATGATTCACATAAAAGCAAATATCAACTCATTTTTGTTTGTTTTGGGACATTTGGTCCCAAAAGATTAAAAGAATAAAATAAAAATAAAAAGTAATGATATATTAAAGAGAAAGTTGTTGCCAATAAAAAAAATAGCTAGTCATTTTTAAAACTGGGAAAGGTGAGGGACGGTGCCTCAGGAAAGCGCCACCTTAATTCTTAAGTCTTAACTAAATCTTAACATAAAACTTAGATAAAAAATAATCAACGAACAAAAACTGCACCAGATGACATTCGATCACAGATAATTTTTTTATTTTTTATAAATCGACATTCATTTTGATAAAGTATTTTTTATATAAAATAATTTTTTTATACCAGCTCTCTTCATGTGTATTATTCATGTTAAAATAAATCGTGTATCTGACTTTATTATGTCATTCATTATTCGCATGCGAATAAATCGTGTTGTTTATATATGAATAATAAAGATCAATTCATGTTTTACACACACATTAGTAATACACACAATGAGAGTTGTATATATTTGGATGAGAAATTAAATATCCTTCTATTTATTTTTACTATCCACTCTCTTACAGCTTTTAAATGATGACAAGTGTAATAAAAATTTATTAATTTTATCAAATATGAAAAATATCATAATCTTAAATGTGTAAGAAAATGGTAGGAGAAAAAATTAGGAGGATATTTGATTTCTCTATTTGAATATAAAATTTACTATATTTGGAAATTGCAGATATATATATTTGGATATTCGGTTTTGAGATACATATTTGGAAATTGCAGATATATATATTTGGATATAAAAATCTATTATCCGAATTTTTTTATATTCGGTTATATATATCCTTAACCAGAAGATGCTCTAAGTTAATATTTAAAATAGCAAATGGATGTAAAATTTATGTATTTTTTTTTGCTTTAAATTTGGTCTAAATATTGTATAAGCCATATTACTCAAATAACATCTATGATAAGATATATGTGTATATAGATTGGTATTATGTTTTATTATTATCACCAATATTTAGAATTATAATGAAATCAAACATTTTCTATTAATTTGATCTAATATTATATTTGATGTATGCCACATGGTTGGTTTTAGAAGGAACATAAGCATATGATAGGAAAAACGCATAAAGAAAGGTTGGAAGGATTTGTGAAGTAACCATCTAACATCTAGCATGTGTATATTATAAGTTTACAACACAAAAGTATATATAAATTATTCAAAAAGTTATGTTTACTTTGGCAATAATTATTAAATCATATATTGTTTATAAAAAAATCAAAAGTCTAATAAACTGTCTCAGTATCTAAAATTTTAAAATCTGATTTTTTAAGAGGACAGGAAGAATTGTATGACGAACTTTACAAAATATATGTTATCCATACTTAAACTCTATAATTATTAATTGTCCATAAATAAAATACCTAATTAACGCAAAAAGTTCAAATAGCAACAAGGGGTATTTCGGATGGGCGAAGTTTACAAAGGATATATATTTTAAGATAAAAGACTTTTGCTATGTTGTGTGTTTTTGTTTGGGTTTTGACAAAAGATGTTGTTTGTAGATGCTCACAAGAAAGAGCTTTGTCCCTCTTTTTACACACGTCTCTTTGGTGGTATTATTAAAGATTAAAAAAAAATATCAAAGAACGTATTGTCATTAAAAAAAACACTACAATAATATCAAAGAACGTATTGCCATTAAAAACACTCAAGAAACACTACAATAACAATTTGCTTCGTTTCCACTTCTTTTACTTTGCAAAATAGCTTAATTTCTTATAAAAAAAAATACGCATGTGCATTTTTTTTTTAAAAGTTACTTTTGTAGATATCATATTAATGTAGTTTTCTTTAGTTCTTTATAAAATTATCGTATAAGGCTTTGAATCTTTGATGTTAGAATTTGGGTACTTGGATTTGCAAACAGCAGGCCCATACCAACCCAAATAATCGGGTAAAAGGAACTAGAAATCCTCGAACTAAAATATGTCTATCAAAAAACAAACATCATTTTGTCATATGACATCTTCTTACATTCTTTTCAGATTTTTTTACAGCCCAAAATTGTTCAATGTTAAATTCCAAAAATACCATTCAAACTCTTTTAAACTCGCAGGTCATTACATTTTTGCGATTACCTATTTTTGGTATTAATCGGTTTCCTATTTCATGAAACATTATCTTCAAAAAATCTTCAATCTAATCTCATAAAATCAGGAACCAAAATTAATTCAATTTCAATTTATACGCCAGGGATCCAAATGTAATTCAAATTTCATTGGGCTTTATATATACATCGACCCCCACCGTATAACGGATTACATTCCGTATTCAATTCCATATTCAATGATTTTAGGGTTGTGCAACGAAGATTTAAGTTAAGGTTTCAATGATTTGGGAGTTTACATCGTCCTCAAATGCTGCCCCTTCTCCTTATTTTTCAAATTTTTATCAATCATCCACGTGTTTTGTCAAAAGTCACAAAGTCAGTCCACGTTAATTTTTCAAATTTTAACGGCAAAATTACAAAAATGGTCCATGTGTTTTGTCAAAAGTCACAAAGTCAGTCCATGTTAATTTTTTTTTACGAACATGGTCCATGTGGTTTCCAAAACTTGCATGAATGACTCTTTTTGCTGATGTCGTTATTGTTCATTCGTTAGTGTAAGGGTATTTTGGTCTTTTCAAAAAGCAGGGACCGAGTTTGTGACTATGGCTAAACCATAATGACCATTTATGTAATTTTTTCTATATTTTATTTTTATTAGTTTGTGGTTTTTCCACCCCTTTACTTTTTAAAATATTACTTTGCACCTTTCACTTTGAACTTTGAAAAATGTTACTTTCACCCTTCTATTTTCTAAATTTTCGTGTTTAACCCTATATTATATATAATTTGATTTTTATGTGTTTATTTTTATACTACGTGTAGAACACGTGTATTACACGGGTTGATTAAAATAAATAATATATTAAAATATAAATAATAAGTATTTTTTAAAATAAAGAATGAAAAAACATATTCATTGCAATTTATTATAATATTTATTACATTTGATACTTTATATATATAAGTATAAGATTATGTGACTTTTTAATTTTAAAAATTGAAAAAAAACATAAATTGACATGTGTATATTATTTATTTAAAAAATATCACAAAATGAAAAGTGTCAAAACTTATTAAAGATTGATATGTGCCAAAAAAAACCTTCATTTATTATAGAGGATATGTGTCTATATAATTCAAGGTGATCAACATTTCGACTTTAATTTAGAACTTTCTTTCGTTAACATTTTTTTTTAAATTACATGGTTTTTTTATAAACTTTTCGGTTTAAATTCGAGTTTGTCTACGTTTCGACGTAGTTTTTTTTTTTTTTTTTATGTACGTTTCCTACGTATGAGATGGGTC